CTTTGAGAGTAGCCGCAAAGGAATCTGTTTGCGTTTCACTGTCCAACAGGAGCAGTAAGGATGAGAATAAAACATGATTCGTAGATACAGTGGTTCTTGAGCAGTTGGACTTCGACGAATTGACGATGTAGAGCTGTTATTCGTACTCACGGTAGTCGCCAGCTAGTGTTTATAATTTTATCGTTGAATTCGTCGCAAAATAGGTTTTGTGGAGAGAAGAAAGCATGATTGAGGAAAGCGCGAGCCCATTAGCCAGTATGTGCGGAGAGCTTCGTCAATGTCTCTTTCACAGCCACGATGAGAATAGGCAACGTAGTACGATTGCCGTCACTGAAAGGTTCTATTGATTCCTGTAAAAATAGCATGGGCAAGGCGAGACAACAGTGGGTAACAGGAGGACAGTGAATATCGTTTGCATAGAGGTGAGGTGTGAGTAGGAGTGCCATCATCGGTCACTGCAAAACCGATCATGGGACTCATGGCGCGAGCATGCGTTAAATCGCTCCAAATGCTACCGTTAAGTCACTATCAGGTAGAACGATGTAGCCATTTTATTTCCAGTAGTTTTTGTTGTCGTATTGTCATGATACCTAGATCCATTTTGGATAGCGACCAATTCATGAAAAGTACAGGTGGTCGCCATATAGCACTGGAACGAAAGAACAAAAAAGCAGCAATGAGAAGTGGTAACAGGATGTGAGCTTGCGTCAGTGTTGTATGGCGTGCTGGAAGGTGTAGATGGTATGCATGTATGGCTGATAGTGTCGTGAAACAAAATGGAAGAGCAACTTGGAGGTCAAAAGGAGGGAGGTGTAAGTACTAGTCAAGGCTCAGCGCTGACGGTCGTCCCTCGACCGTTACGTCATTTACCGTTAGGCCGAAAGGCAATGAGCTTTGACTATCGCGGATGCTGATTATTTGTAAATGAGCAGGCACAGCATGAATGTACAGCGTGGATGCAATTGACACCGAGCCGGCGGCTATTCAAAGACTCGCACATGTACCGGTCAGCCTGTGATAGATGTCTCTGATTTGAAGACTCAATACTAAGCGTTCCATAAAAATGTCAAGATTATATGTAATATACGATGCACAGATATTCTTAGGAAGACTAATTGATGTTGAAATCCGGCCATGCCCCGTGTGTCTGACCACCTGTGTACTGTTTAGCATCTGAGTGAGTCCAATAGCCAAGTAATGCACCTTGCGCTCCCCATGACGAATGAAGTACTCCGTTGAATTGTCTGCGTAACTCTTCATTCTGACGACTGAGCTCTCTAATTTTCTGTGCAGCTGGAGAGTGTGTTAGGTAATTGAATATTAACAGAATGAATTGACATGCCTGCCGTCAGTGTTTCATGGCGTTTCGCCGGGTCAACCCTCCCCTCTGTCACTTCACGAATTGCTTGCTGAAGATCCGCGAATCCCTCTCCCTCCTTCTCTCTGTATAGGCGCTGCTGATCTGCCTTGCTCTGAGGCGACTCAGTGAAGTTTGAGTTGGAGGACATCTGGAAGGTGTTGGGCTTGCTTTGAGTGAAGTGTTGTGTGATTCGAATGAAGTTTGAGTGTGGTTCTTTGCAGACTATTTATTCATTGTCGTCTCCACGAGTACGGACTGTTTAACGTTATCCATTATTGTTCATATTCGAGGATATTGCATGCCACTCTGCAAGCAGATATCAGAATCGATCGAGAGTGACACTCCACGTTGACCCGATGTCTATACGTCTCCCCGTCAGTGCCACAACGCACAGGGATTGAGCACAAGAAGAACCTAGTTGTTACTTAGACACGCCGTATGCAGCCTGTTCACGGGTATCAGAAAAAGTGTTTACGTACCTTGTTTAATGGCGAAGTAGAAGGATGAATATGACTGTCATATGATAAAGCCAAATGATTCCGTAATTCATGTCAACTGGCGTTCGCCGAAACATTATCCGTGTTCGATGGCCTGTGCTTAAGAATCGCTTGAGGACGAGTACGTGCTCTTTGTTCTAGTTAACAGTGTCCCGTGGAACACGGAAATCCAAGCTTCAGGTAACGATCAATTGCACTTACAACTTTAATTTATTGTGATCAGCTTTCCAACTACTATCATACACTATCTTGTGATTGTTGATGAGTCGGATCGATAAATCATTAAGCCTGCTGCAATGCGATGTGCATCGTAGTGAAGCTACTGTGAGCCAGAATTTCTACAACGAGTAGTGGCATACCGTGTATATAGCTCCTTGTCCTAAATGTGCTTGCATGAGAGACTCGGAGCAGACTCAACCGGCCAGTCTCAGAAGTAACGCGAGCAACGCGATGACTCACCTATCTGAACATGATAATAGCTCCAATCGTCCTCTTTGGTTCATCAAGGTTGTAAACTTAGCCCCACTGACCCATTTTGTTTTTTTCGCGAACGAGTGTTATAATACTGCCGTGCACGTGGGGAACAAGCAAGCGAGAAAATATTAAATGCACTTGATGAGATATTTTGAGGAAATACCTCATATGCATGCATACTAGATGTCCACGGGAGTTCGCGCCTTTTTGGCAAAACGGTTATTACTCCACATCGCACAAACAAACAAAATTAATTATTTGACAGTTCGATAGCGTGACATCGAAAGTACAACGTCTGCTAGTTTCTTTTTCGAAAATTGACGTGTTGAGTCCAGCGGAGAGTTACCGCGCAGAAAAGTGCATTTTCCCTAGAGTTCGCGCACTTCGTCACACTATGTCACACGTCTGCCGCAATGCCTTTTCACGCTCCGCAGAATTCGCACCGTTTAAATGTTGTGAAGTTGTGCATGTGTAAAGCATTTCGGCATTGCGGAGTTTTGATTACACAGTCTCTATGTAACGCTTTGGGCAGATTGTCACGTCTGGGGCTTATTTCTTTATCGCAGATGATCCTGACAAGCATGTGCCCCGAATAAATTTGTTTTAGTATTCTCTAATCATGTATATAACCATCTCACAATATTCCAGAATTATATGTGGAGATCTGACCTTTAGAGTGAGCCTTCTATGCCTCTCGCACTGATAAGTTGCCCATGGAACAAGATCTACTTCGATTTTCTTCAAAATATATATATGGGAGTGTGTATTATGTTTGGGCGAATCCAGATCTATCATGGATAAGGATTCTGTGCAGAATTGCGTGTGCTAGAGTCAATGCGCGGACTCTTGGGACACACGGACTCGTGGGACCATCTAGTATGGTACCGGAAGTCTATTTTTTTATTTCAGATGTGACTCGCGACTTCCCCGACTTCCCACGAATGTACTTAGGAAGACCGGATGCGTGGGAACCCTTTCGGATCGATGTCACCGAGTCAACAAACTCCATGATGCCATCAAACTTGTGTTCTGCGTGCTGACACCAAAAGACTAGTGTCAATGCAATTATGTCTCATTTCACTTCTCGAGTCTCTTGACGGCACCTGTCTCACCTGCTTACAAGATAACGGGGCACTTTGCTTACTGTCGAGCTTCTGAAAGATCCTGAGGTGGCAACCGCTACATACTCCTCTTGTCATCAGCGCATCTCTTACTCTCGGTTCAGCAGCTATACGAGCTTCTAAAGCTGTGTCTTTACCCAGCACGTGTTGATGATCTTGCTCGCCGTTTAAATAAGCTGAACGTCCAGATATGTATTCGTCGATTGGCGCCAGGCTATACAAGAAGCTCTCTCACCAAAAAAACGTGTGATGCACTTCCGAAGTTCTCAATCATTCCCCAACACGCACTATCCCTATTTCATGCTGGAGCGAGTGTTTTGGGTGATGTATTTTCCGTTCTTGAGCTGTCGGTCACTCTCGGTCAAGGCTGTTTCCTGTCAGGTTCTCGTTCATGAGAGTCAATTAGTGTGTTTGTTCCTGAACGTGACATCGGAGAACACATGAATCCTTGATATTGTAGCCGGTGAGGAGTGCTGGTTATCCCAACTATTTTGCGCGTTCTCATCGGAGTCAATCATAGGACATTGTCTCGTGCTCCGTCAAGGATATATCAGCCCATCTAGAACCCAAATAGAATGCGCTAGCGGAGGTACGAAATAGATGAAGTTGGCTTGATCTGTTCATGCATGCACTCATATACAACATGTCTGCTTAGAAGGGACTACTTTCACATTCCAAGCACTGATGCTATGTCGAAGTTCGGATTATACAAGGTACACCTTCAAGGGAGATACTCGACACAGTTTCCAGTCGCCCGGCTTACACCCCTACATGCAAGCGTCTTGATCACAATCCAACTGCTCTTCACCTTCAAGGTACCTAGCATATCCTGTTCTCGGAGGACAAAATAAACGTTGATTTCTGTATATAAATGATGCATCAATGAATGCTAATTACAAGACGAACCGCGTAGCGGCAATCACTTGCACGATCATGCCTTACGAGTTCTCCAACAAACACACTTCCTGATCATTTATTCACTGGGTTTTCAACTACATAAGATCGATCATACCGTTGTGCTCTTTGTGTATTTAGGGTTCGCACTATCGACAGAAAGCCGACACACAGCATCGAGCAATTCATAATACAATCATCCCGATATTTCCGATTCTTAATATTGAAAAGCTTAGTCACAAACACTGGATCATATCGTACCACGGATCAGCGGAGCAAGCAGTACTAGTGCAGCATGCTCGTTCTTGAACTCGGGGTTGATTTATCTATACTGGGTAGCCGGCATAGCTCAAAGATGTATTGTCAACGTTCTGGCTGGCCTAGATATCAACCCGACTGTCCGCCGATAAGACACCGATCTTTGTTGTCGCACAAATTGTTAGCGATTGCAAAGGCGTGCGAAGGAACGGTTTCGGTGTACCATGGTCGCGATTGATCCAGTTTTTGTGGGAGGGGGACTTCGTGATCACAATCACAAAGCTACAATCGAAATGGATCCGGAACCGTTGTAGTCTAAACCTCACTAGTGGTGAACGTAGTTCATAGTTGTAAATCTATACAAAATAAAGACTCGCACATGAATCGATCAGCCTGTGATAGACGTTTCTGATTTGAAGATTCAATAAGTGTTCCATAACAATGTCAAGTTATTCAGTGATTATATGTGATATACGATGCACAGATATTCTTAGGAAGACTGATTAGTGTTGAAGTGGGGTGAGATAACACCAGTACTTACTGATAGTCCGGTTCATTCCACAGTTTTAGACCGAATTCCACCGCCGAATGCCCATACCCATGCTATCCACCCTTTCCTCATCTCAGAAAAGCCCCTGTTCTGGCGAAGGGCAACGGCAAGGCCAACTGCTGCTATCGCACCTAACAGAAGGATCCGTTTCTCCGTGGGTGTGAGTAGTCCGAACCGAAGACGCAGGCGATGAAAGAGAACGAGTTTCCGGTGTCTTGGGACGGGACCTTTGTGTGACTTCGTCTTTCGCTCATTTTCGCTCTCTATATCTTCATCTTCTATAAACGGGACAACAACATCAGGGCTCCCAACCCAGCTCTCTACGTCGTCATCACGTTCATTGTCGCATTGTGTAGAGAAACTATTTTGAGGAGGTCTCCACGTGTGCACAACGCTCTTAGGCCCAAGTATGTCCTTAACGCGAAGCTCGGGAAGGGTGGGAGGATAAGTCTCAAGGAGCTGTGCAGCGTGTGTTAGAAGGGACGTAAGTGAAATTGGAGGCCGGCAGGATTTTTTAGGGGGTAATGAGGACGAACGGGACGCAGTGCAGGAACTAGAACGCGATTTACGTAGCGACGTCGGGGATGTCGGTCTAGAAAGAGACGGTGGGTTGGGTGGGAGCAGTTGTGGCTGTGAGGGCCGGATGTCAGTATTAATTTCGGCAGTATTATCGACGAGTGTCTCTAGAGAAATCATGGCCGGAGGCTGAACTGAGAACAACGTGGGGTGCGAATCATCCGATGGTTGGATGCTCCAAGTATCAGCAGAGTGGCCAGCATCAGTAGTCACATCGGTCTCTCCATGGACAACTTCACCATCGGTGATATTCTGGGACGCTCCATTCTCTGCCAAACAGGGAACTGGTTTCTCTTCGATCATTTGATGTTGTTCTATAGAAAGCTCGTGGCTTGTGTTTTCGTCGGGTATATCTGAGAGCTGCCTCATCTCCTCTGTGTTGAATGTGACCGTGTCTTCCTCATCTGGTGATGCTGATCGAGTATGTTGATCGGAGGGAACGTCGTTCGCTGTTCCAGAATCATCACTGAGTGAAGGCAGAGCATTCAAAACTGAATGTATCATGCCATCCTCCTCTTCTTCTGCTAATCGAAGAACATCAGGTTTTCGGACGAGAATGACCTGCACGATATAAGTCAATGATGGGATTACTCAAACAACGATATTTGCCCTAGAATGGTATCGCAGCAATGGCCGTGAAAAAAAGAACTTACAGCGACGGCTAGCCATACCACTGCCAAAGGTTCCCGGCAGAGCAGAAAATCCCAGACATGCTGAATAAGGGGTAGGGTGGGTACCTCGTGTGAGAAGAGGGTGAGAAGATTTGATAGGGCATGGAACGGTAGGGGTGCAATGCTACGAAGCAATGTATAACGCATTAACAAACAAGGCGTGGCAAGGCGTGGAATGCGTTAAGATACCTCTCAAGCAACATTGCATATTTAGGGTCGATGATACGCAGAAGATTACGCGCGATCCGGAGAAGTCCCAATACAGGCTCTAACGTGGGTCCCATAGAGTCCCTCAATCGATGAAGGGAGAGCTTTTCTACACAAGGGAGCTGAAGTTCTGGTGGAAGAGTTAGAAAGACAACAGTGACAATGTCATGGTATCCTTGGAAATAGTGCAACTTCCGACGCTTCCTGAGGAGGGAAACGATCAAACTGTTGAGAGAAGTTTGCAATATAGTTCGGTGACTATCGTCATTATCGTATGCCTGTGACATGTTCGAACACTCGTAGAAAAGTAGCCATGAGATACATTGCCTACGGGATACATCACAAAGCTCCGGTCGGTGTCCAAACGTACTTGACGCTCGTCAGGATGGGGCGGATCGTCTGTAGAAGGTTCTGGAGAGACCTCTGCATACGGAGGAGGTTCTGACGGAACGCAGACTCCGAGCAGGGCTGGCCTGTGAGCATATGATAAGTTAAGCAGCTCAGTGGAACTAGTAAACAATTGCAGTTCCGCGCACCAGACACGTGTTCTTTCCTTTCCAAATCCACCAGGGAGAAGGCTCTGAGCTCGTAGCGCGTCCCAATCTATCGTATCTTCGTCAAGCATGGCAGCGTCGGGAAGTACTTGGCGTTATGGATACTCAAGCTTGCAAGTTTGCCCTCGTCACCACAGGTAAAGTGCTTACTAATCAATTACGCTAC